AGAGAGAGAGAGAGAGAGAGAGAAACAGAGAAACAGAAAGAAAGAAATAAAAAAGAGAGGGGGGGAGAGAGAGTTAGCATAACACGCACTGACCTGCATGACAATGGTCAAGTCCAGCACTAGGATAAAGGAGGCGAGGAAGGCCCGGGAGATCTCGTTGCTGTGCAAGAAGTCCCTGTTGAGGCTGTCCCAGTTGATGTAGTCGGTGGCGATGACGAAGAGGACGGTGAAGGAGGACAGGACCACGATGATCCAGAAGAGGATGATGCGGTTGTAGCTGGTGTTCCACCACTTGCGGACGGGCTTGGCCCAGGATGGGTACAGCTTTTCCTGGAGCATCATATCCGTCACCTGCGAGGTTTGGTGGAAGTTGTTTTTTTTAGTTTTAGTTTTAGTAAGAGTTTTACGGCACTTGCAACACAATATAAGGTCATATAAATGCCGAAGATTAGCGGTGTTACAAGAAAGTAACAAACACAAAAAAGAAGAAGTAGAGATCAGTACGACAGATGTTTGATAGGAAAGAAGGAGCAAACCACACCAGAGCACCCGTCAACCACCCACTGGTTGAAGTTTCACGGCACTTGCTACACAATCAGGTTACATAATATGTCACCTGCGAGGTTTAGTTGAAGTTTTAGTAGGAGATTTACGGCTCTTGTAACACAATCAGGTCATATAAATAAGTGCCTTGAGAAGGTTAGTTTACGATTCGTAAGAGTTTTATGGTACTTCCGACATTAATAAGTCATTAAATGCCTTGGAAAACACGTGTTACAATGGAAACATAATAATATGATGAAAAGAAGAAGTTCGACAGATGTTTCGTAAAGATTTAGTAAGTTTTACGGCACTTGCAGCACAATAAGGCAGTATAAGAGCCGAAAAATAGATGCGTTACAAGACCGAAAAACAAACATAAAAAAGGCCAAAAAGAAGGTGGAGAGATAAGGACGGTAGATGCTTGATAGTGAAGAAGGAGCAAACCACACTAAAGCACCCGCCAACTAACCACTTTAAGTAAGTGTTTTACAGCACTTGCAACACAAGTAGGTTATATAAGTCCCTAGGAAAAGAGGTGGTCTTTGAGTGTAACATACAAAGAAAAGGGGGGCAATAATAATATAAACTTTAGTTTTTGTAAGACCTTGACGACACTTTCAACACAAATAGGTCAGCATAGGATAAGAGATGTTACAAGAAGGTAACATACAACGAGAAGAAGTTCGACGATAGATGTTTATTTTATGTGTTGGTAAGAGCTTTGCGTCATTTGCTACACAAATGAGTCTTGTAAAATGTAAGTGTCGAAGATGTGAGGTTTTACTGGAGGGTAACATAAAAAGAAAAGGAGGACAGATGAGGACTATAGATGTGTGATAAGAAAGAAGGAGCAAAACACACCAGAGCCCCCATCAACCACCTATCACATGAGTAGCGTGAAGCACATTGATACAATAACGGCCATTTAGTGCAGGGGAAAGAGTAAAACTGACAGACAGAAACAACAGAGGTGGGGGTCGGGAGGAGGGGTGACGTTAGACACAAAATAAAAACTGGACGATGGAGGAATGGCTGAATGAGTATAGGGAAGCGA